AACCAATGAACCGTGGACATTGGTTAAACATCAGGCTTCTCAGACGGCGAGTCTGAAACATCAGGGTTAGAAGAAGGAAGCAGCGAAGACAAGAAGGAAATCTACAGGGAGCGAAGGGAACGAGGGGTGAGGTTCAGGGTGAGACCGGGCTGAAGAGGAGATGAAAAAGAAAACAATGGGGAGGAAAAGGAAACAAAAGAGGGTTGAGTGAAAGACAAAAGAGGACACGCTGTTGTGAGGATGACAACGGTCTACGTGGTTGTCGAGGAGGAGGACGGCAGGAGCTAAAGGTTTTGTTTGGGCAGTCACGGAGAAGGACTGCGGAGGCTTGAAAGGTGTCTTGTGTCGACGCACATGGGAGGCTGCGAAAGGGCACAGCTGCCATTAAGTGACAGGGGCAGCAGGGGTGAAGATAAGATGTAAAACGTAGGAGAAAAGAAAAGAAGAAAGTCATTTCACACACTCACCCGTTTTATTTTCTCTTCTGCCTGAGACGTACGTTCAGACGACGACGACGACCGGAGATTTTCACGGTGTCTCCTTAAAGACCGTAACATTTGGATCCTCTTTATTGATTTAGGAATTACACAGCTTTTCAGATGATATTCTTTTAAACACTTTGCCGGTCGTTGGCCAATGTTCAGATGGAGATAAACATGACAAGTGAATTTCAGTTATTTCTTTCGCCTATGAGAAAAATCATTTAATCAAATTAAGAAAACAGTCGATGAATTATTCGCTTCCAAAGTAATCAATAGCTGCAGCTCTTTTTGGAGACACTGTGTGCTTGACATCACACTCTCAGTTCAAGGAGTTGTGTCGACAGAATCTTATCAACAGAAATCCATTTTGTTTTTCTTCTTTTAGGCTGAGTGTCTAAACTGTTTTTCCTTTAATTCATGTTCTGGGCTGAGTGTCTAAACTCTCTCTCTCTCTCTATCTATCTATCTATATCTCTCTCTCCCACACACCCTATTGAAATTCCTTAATTCTGAAGGCAAGTTATGAGTATAACATTTCAGCACCAAGGACAGCTCCCATTCCTTATGCCTTCCTATGTTTGGTTTCTTCTTTGGTTTGTAACAGCACTTGTACTTCTACCAGTCAGACAGGAAGTTAAACAAAAACCCAGCTTCATTTAAACTGTTTGTATTGTCAACTGTTTGTTTGAGTTTTTTTTTTTTTTTTGACCACATAACAGACCTTGATAATTCACCAACACAGTATCTGCTTTAGAATGAGTGCCATTGTCCTCTGAACATCGTTCCTCAGCCACCAGTGTTAAATGATGTGTTTGTACAGTAGCAGGCAGAGACAAAGTGACGACACGGTGACCTCAGCAGGCTTCGTTCTCTCTGTTTGACCCTCTTTTTTTTTCTCTCCTCTTGTTATTCGCTGTTTTTCAGCTGCCTGAATTCCAGGAAACTGAAGTGAAGCCTTGTATAATAGATGAGCTCTCTGGGGAGTTGGAGGAGAATCCTCCAGGATTCAATCATGGCCAAACTAATGAGATTATCATGGCTAATGCACGTGGTTCCTCTCCCTCTCTATTTGGCTTCACTGTAGGCAGCATGGCTAAACCAGGGAGGTGTGGGTCGCCTACAGGGCGGCTCCACTAGCAGTGTCCCCAACAGCTTCATTATGTCTTAAAAAAATAAAGTGCTTGTGAGTTTTTGGCGTTCCTTCTCTGGTGTGTCTGTGGTTGTAAAACCATTGTTGATCCTGGTACTCAGGAATGACACAGTGGTGAGAAAAAAAATGAGAATAAAATTGGATCATGGGATGGAGGGATGAAGAGGTGAGGTAATGGATTAGTGTGGTCTCTAGGGGGCGTATTGTTCTGCCTGACTGTGGTGGAGGCCTGGGCTGTTGATGCTGAGTTTCTGCTTTTGTCCAGCCTGACTCGCAGCTGAAGCCGTGGATGAAGCTGAAGTGAAACGTCTCCGTCACCAGAATCAATGACGGCCTTGAACTGATGCTCATGAACAGTGATGATTCCACAGGAGAAAGACTTCCGTGGTCGGAGTCGAGGCTTCGTCTCAGCTCCGTTACTGAGTCTAACTTTATCGGCAGTAGTTTTTGTTGTCGTTTTACAGACCAGCGTCGTGATGCAGACGTCTATGGTTTGGTCATAATTGGTGACATGATCACATGACCTATTCTTCTATAACTTTTCATGCATATCTTTATTTATCCTTGGAATCATCTGTGACTATTATATTTTTCCGATCTAGTCCACGGCATCAAGAAGACTGTTGGTAAAAACCCAGGTTTTTTCACGTCAGGGTTTCTCAGAGAACCTTGTGTTTCCTGCATTCTGAACCAGTGTTTCCCAAACTTTTTTTTTTCTGCCGACCCATATTTTAAAATTCACAAACCTCCGTGCCCCAAGTCAGTAGACATTATTCGTAAACTCCTGGGAAACATGTGAGACTACCCCTCGTAAACTCCTGGGAAACATGCGAGACTACCCCCCCAAAAAAAAAAACTCTTGTCTTCAGGAAACAATGTTCTAAACATTGAAATAAACCCCGATACTGATGAGTACAAAGTCCTACCAGACCTCCACCTTCTCAGTCTGTGGAGCAACTGTTGGCTGATGATGTATTTTGTTGGGCTACTGTGTTGTAGCAGGTCTGAAGGTTTGTTTTTTTTTTTTTACTGTCTTGTCTTTGACAGGAGTTCCTGTGATATCCTGAGAGCATGTTTTGTTAAAAAAAAAAAGACACAAGACAAGAAATCTGTTTCAGGAGATTAACAAAGAGAGTTAAATCCAGCAGCTGCTGTGTAGGTTCATTCATTAGACTAAATGAAGCTGCTACCACTGCGAGGGCCAGATGAGATTAGACGTTTGATCAGGTTTAGTCCCTTAATTACTCTGCTTCCTGTTGTCCCCATATGTCCTGATGGGGACGGGAACACTCCAGTCTGGGAGAACCAGGAAGTGACATCGCAGTGATGGGAAACTAGATGATAGTTCTTTGGATTTTTCTTTTACATTTGAATCCAGACGAGATCAGACGGCGCAGCACGGTGCCTCAGTGGAGAGAGGACATGATAAGATAAGATACCCGAGGAGCAACTGAGGTACTATATGAGTATATGAGTAGTAAAGGTTCAGGAGTGGCAGAAAAGTATGTGAGGGTCATGCAGGACATGTATAAATCAAGAGAGACAGTAGTTAGGTGTGCGGCTGGAGTGACTGATGGGTTCATGGTGGGGGGGGGGTTGTACACAGACTGTATAAAGTGTAACCTGTCGTGTGGAGAAATAGAATTCAGTTTCCGTGTCAGTTTTGTGATTTGATTTAGTTTCATTTTTGTTTGTTTAAATTGATCATTTCGACTCTTTTCAAGAAGAGCAGAATTGAAATCGAGGGATCTGTACCAGGGACTCTGTGAAGTCTGACAAATAAACATTTGTTTGGTCATAATTAAGTGAACAAAAAGATGAAAGTAGTTTTTAGTATGAAGAGAATTTTCTACCTACAGCTCATCCATCATCAAACACTCAGTGTCGGTCCAGTTTAAACTCCCTGGTTTGATCTTGACGAGGTTTTTAAGCCGATAAATTTAGGACGCTTTTCATTAAACTGGTGCGAAGACGTGAATTCAGAGCAGAATAAAAGATGTTGACAGGTGAAGAACAGACGGAGGGAGGAGAGAGAGAAAAGTGACTGATGGGTTCATGGTTCCTACACACACACACACACACACTCCTAATATAATATAGAAATGTTTCCACAGCGCGTTAGAAGACGGACTTTGAAATAACAGGGTCAGAGAATAAAACTCTAATGAGTTCTGGATAATTAGGATTATTATTTATAAGTTATCACGCCTGCCTTACACTTAGGAGGTCTTGGGTTCGAGTCCCAGAGGAATCACATATTTATGTGTTTTAATTAAATCTGCTGAGAGGGGCTGAAGGACAAAGATATTGTTGATTTCAGAGGAAAACAAATCAGTTCAAACTTTTTCTCTATCTGTGCAATTTCTATGAAATATTTATTTAACAATCTGCAATAATGAATTGCAATAAGTTGTTTAGTTTTTTAAATGAATCCTGACAGAAATAATATTGAGGAGAGTCGTGTTTCATCACAGTGGAGATCTTTCTCCGCTGCTTTGTTCCAGTGTTTGTAGTTTATGAATAAGGAGACCCGTTCGCGGTGCGTTCTTACGCTTCCATTGAGATTTTAAAGGTAAAAAAAAAACCTTATTGTGAACAAAATGCCATAAAAAGTAAATGCAGCCTAGTTTCCCAGCTGAAGAACTGGGGCAGAGCCTAAAACTGCGATGAAGGATTTTAACCCAGTAACGTCACTTCAGGACGACGATTTCAGCAGCAGATCCGTCGCGGTGAAGTAGGACGATATCAGAGGCGACACAGACACAGACACAGACAACGACACAGACACAGACACAGACGGCACGACGCGCCGTAATAACGTGGGTGGAGTCGGGTAAAGAAACCAGAATAACTCAGACTGCTTATAGGAAACAGAACTGAAACTGTTTTTAGTCTTTGTGTTTAAATGTTCATGGTATAAGTCTGAGGCGTCTATTATCATTCAGATAATACACTTTTTTTTTTACTTTTTATTTAAATCACAGTCTGTTCCCTCCTCGGTGGAGATCAGTGGCACCTGCTGCTTCTGCAGAAGAATTTCCACTTTCCCTGCCAGGTTACTCTGACCCACTTTGCACACGGGTTTCATTAACATAAAAAAAAAAATAAAAAAAATTCAAATACTGGTGCTTTTCAAACTCAAAATGCCACTGGGCTTTTGTGTGAGGTTCTCTTGTTAAAAGGTTCTCTTTGGAGGGTGAACCTTCAGCCGGGCCTGGCTGCTCTGTCAGAGCCGCAGCCCAGAGCGGGAGACCTATTAGACACAGCCTACCTCTGTAGAACCGAGCTGAAACCACGGCGGAGCCACAGCAGCTACGGTTATATATACTCTTCAAATGGAAGCCAACGCGGCACAGTGACTGACTCACCTCGTAGCAGAGGAGTAGAACCGGAGTCCCGCCCGGCGGAGGACGCAGTTGATTGGTTCGAGCTTCACTGAGCCTCTTCTCCCCAAAAGCTGCAGTTCTCTCTCTGGCCACCGTAGCTGTGGTGTCAGGAAGTGTCTTTTTTGTCTCTATATTTCCCCGAGGCGAGGATGTGTAGTTGTCGTTCCGGTGGTTGCAGTCCTGTTCTGTGATCCAGCTGGATCCAGACTCCCAGCATGCACCGAGGCAGGAGAACAGGCTGTGTCCCGGCAAACACTGTTTGTTTTTTGTTTTTTTGCCAAAGTCTCAGAAGAGGCGGAGCTGGAGGAGAAGAGGTAAAGACAGACAGATGGAGGTGTTAATAAGAATTTAAATTACATTTGAGTAGGAGAAGCACGCTGAGAGAGAGAGAGAGAGAGAGATAAAGATTAAATCAATGCTGGGTCTAAATTAGGCAGACAGCCTTGATTAGGACTGCATACAGAGTGGCCGTTTCCTGATGTAAAATATGTTTGATCTCAGACACTTCTCTCATATTTATTAGAAAATCCAATACCTGGCTACAGCAGGACGGTGTGTAATTAGGTTCGAAATCACTGTGTGTTGTGTGTGTGTGTGTGTGTGTGTTTGACTGGCAAACAGTCAAAGAAGAAGAAGAGGAAGAAGACGTCACCATTCGGTGAAGTTCTTCAATTCTTCAGGGTAAACAGATTCTCTAATGACTTCACCTCATGAAGACGAGTCAACTCAGGTGTGAGTGTGAGATTCACAGTCAAATATAAAGAGGGAAATGAAATATATATGAGAGGGAGGCGCCGAGCTCGCAGCACCTCAGTGGTGGACTCGAACCTGAAACCTTCCAAACCACCGCTGCCCTAGAAAACAGATAATCCACCCCAACAGGGACTTGAACCCCTGACCCTTAAGTCTGATGGTGGAGGGCCAAACAACTGCCAAACAACGGCCTACAGTATAAAAATATATTTATATATAGATATATTTAAATATGTATGGAGACCATCCAAACCACCGCTGCCTTAAAACAAATGATCTGCCCAAACAGGGACTTGAACCCTCGACCCTCAGATTAAAAGACTGAGCTGATCCTATATATTAATGTTTCACGTTTCAGACTGAACTTAAACAACACACACACACACACGCTCACACACATATACTGTACTTAAATGTCAGGGCAGACAGGGCCAGCTGGTCTTTAAAAGGTCTGGGGGTGGA